GCCATGTTAGACCTGGGAACAATAACAATTAAGAGGTGGTTCCACCCTCCTTAAAACCTTCTAGTCAAAAATCTTGCTGCCGGATGTAGTTTATCGTCATACCCAGAACATTTTCTGAATGTTGCCCCTGGCATTGAAGTTTTAAAAAAAAATTATTGTACTTTTGAGTTTGAACTTAAAAGCTGTAATATATGTAATATCATTATCGAATACTGGTGCATGTTTCGAGACTTCTATTTCCTTCATCAGACAAAGATTTGCTTTGAATTCTTTTTTAAGTTTAAATGCTTAAGTACAATACAGACATGTAACGGGCAATGATTCAACATTCTTAGAAAGAGAAGATATTTCAGCAATTCAAAATTCTTAGAAAGAGAGATACAGGAAGAACATATAAGAAAAAAAAAGTACAATACAGACATGTAACGAACAATGATTCAACATTCTTAGAAAGAGAAGATATTTCAGCAATTCAAAATGATCCTACAAAATTATTTTTTTAGATCCCGAAAACTGTCATAATAAGATTTAAATTGTTTATTTAAATAAATCTTCATTTTAGTAAATCCAGAATCGTTTTTAAATAACCAATTTATCTAGTGTGTCCGACATTTCGTTGATTACAAATCAACCAAAATTACATTTTTATCTACGCTAATTGTTATTTGATAAATGTTAGAATATTGAGAAAATATTATCGGCATCCTAATGTGCCATTGCATGTTCATGTAAATAAAAAAATGCCTCACCAAAATAACTAAATTTACATTCTTTTGAATTTTTATACGACGCATGCTGTTGTGCCAATCGATATTTCATCGTTATTCGAAAACAAAGAACCAATTGTCTGACTTGTGGAAACAATCTTTAACAAAATAACACTACTATAAATTTTTATGATCAAAGAATTCATTTTAAATTGAACAGTTTTTGAATAGTCTCCCAAGTAAAGAACTTAAAAAAATCGTATTGTAATTTTGCATTTGAACTTACATGTCAAACAAATAAAAGTCATAAGCGGTTGAAGGGATTAGAAATGTAGAAACTTCTACCAAAATACAATAATGAATATATATATATATATATATATATATATATATATATATATATATGTGTGTGTGTGTGTGTGTGTGTGTGTGTGTGTGTGTGTGTATGCGTGTATATATATATATATATATTTTATTCGAAAATTAGAAAATGAATATATTATATATGTTATAGAATCCCTACAAAAATAGCCATTTTCTTTCAACACTTCTGGTGTTATATCACTTGATAGTGTTGAATGCATGACGTAATGTTCTATATTCAACACCATCACTTGATAAGACACCAGAAGTGTTGAAACAACATGTCTATTTTTGTAGCGATTTTATAACATTTATGTTATAATTTTTGAATAAATAATTATATTTCCTCTACTTGGTATTGAGCACTCTTTTAAGAATAGTATTTGTTGGTTGTTGGAATTTATTCCGTATACACCAATCCTATACTTGGATATATATATATATATATATATATATATATATATATATATATATATATATATATATATATATATATGTATGTATGTATAAAAGTGAACATAGAAGTCAACACTTAGAGACTTAGAGGCGACAGTCTGTTTCATGCTATATGCAATCGTCAGATGTGGACTTCTTGATTGTGGAACACATTTCCTGCTCCATGTTTCCTCCAACTTTGATCTTTACAACTTTATATGCAATATCAATCTGCATCTTCTTTTCTTTCTTATTATTTTGACAGATTATAATGCAGATAATTTTTAAAATATTAGTTAAAATCCTTCCTTGGTTAAAATTCTTTCACTGAGATTTGAGATTCTCCCTGGGACCCAAGGAAAAAAAAAATAAATAAAATAGT